TCGCCCCGCTTCACGCCTTTCTCTTGGTTGCCCCGGGGTTATCAACGCAAATCAACAATAAATTGGAAGGACATCGTTGTCGTCCTGGCGAGCCTCGCTGTTGTTCTCCTGCTTGTCATTCCAGCCCACGTTGTTCTCGTCCGCGTTCAGGCCTCGCTATTGCCCGAGGCTGACGACACGATAATCCCCTTCGACCCCTCTTTTGGCGGCTCCGTGGTCCCAGCTGTCCTCGATGGCAAGGGTTATGTTAGCATGACTGAGGCCTGGAACACCTTCTCCGCCGCCGCCTGGCGCCGTCTTGTCCAGCTTTACGTCAAAGTCTTCTTGGTCGGCATCGCTGGCATTCTCATCATGGCTGCTGTGATCATTCCCGAATATATGCTCCTCCACGCACAGAGCTCACGCAAGCATTAAACGTCTCTGCCTCTTGATACCTACTGAGTTTCCGGTCAAAGTGGCGCTTTGGACAGACTGAATCCTTCAGATGGACAGACCATAACTCTGAAGATGTCCAATGCTCCTCTTGGAATTAGCCATACCATGAGTGACAGGGAGCCGGCAATTAATCCTGTCGTGTCATGTTTTCTTGGTGTTGATTGAATTTTCTCGCATACACTTCACTTACATGCTTTGGAGCTGTATCATCCATTCATTTTATTTCATGAGTTCTGTTGTCATAACACTTGAAGTCCGGCATGTATGCAGGAACGGGGGGCCTCTGGTCTACCTCTCCTCTCGAGCTCTCAGCCATCATGTAATCGTGCCAAAAGCCACTTCCCCTTCTTCTGATTTAGGCCGTCAATGCCAAGCATATCACATTCATCAACTTGCCGCACATATTTTGTTCCGACGACTTGTGAAGTCAAAGCAGCGTTGCCGTGACCTCTGTCTCCGCTCGATGTATCCGCGCTCTCATGCCCGCTTCGCCGTCACATCTATAATTCTGGGTACCCTCCCAACCGGCGCTCTGCTCATGTGGTATAGTGACAAAGAAGACGAGGAGAGTGACAGTCAGGCCATGTGCCACAAACAACATACAGCCTTAATGCAGTGTCCAAACTCAGAAGTGTCAGATGCAAGGCGGTCTGAGCAGCGTCACCTAGTCTCCGCTTTGTTGTCCCGTCGACCGTGATGAAACGCTGCTGGTATGCAAACGGGTCGCCTTCGTCGCCGAATCCCCTTCACTTCTGAGAGAAAAACCAGCTGCTCCGCTTGTTGCCGCCCTCGTTCTGCTGAATGTTATTGATGACGGGGATGCTGGCCTGTGGTCTCGCCGCCGCCGCCGCGGAGGGGCTTAGCGATGCGGCTGCCGGCGCCGGAAAAGCTGAAACCGCCGAGCGACGGCTAAATTCAGGCCGCGCGTGCTGCCGGCCTTGGCTGCCTCGAGGCGTTCTTTGACTGCTTCGAGTTGGACTTCGAATCTACAAGGCACCAATTAGACACATCTTGAATAGAGAGACTACTGTTCAGAGGATATTGGGATTGGAAGGCGAAAACGA